GCGCCTCGCCTCAGCAGCGTTTCGGCCATCCTCTTGTTCTCGCGGCTCAGAGCCAAGAGCAGAGGTGTACAGCCCGATTTGTACGTCTGGGCGTCGACTCGCAACGGTCGTTGTTTCTCGTCGCAGATCTCGAACAACGTCTTCGCCCAGACCAAGTCGTGGTCCTCGTGTTTCCAGCAGTCACTGTGCAGCGGCGTCGACCTCCACGGTCTGCTGCGTGTCGTCGACGATTTCAAAGAATACCTCCGTCAAGTTATCGTCGGCTTGTCTCTCGCAAACGACGTGCAGAGCGGTCTGTCCCCACCGATTGGCCAAACTCGGACTGGCGCCGTTCCTCAGCAGCGATTCCGCCACCTTTCGATGGTCGCGGCTCAGAGCCAGGTGTAGCGGCGACTCACCTTCTCTGTGCTCAACGCAGTTGGGATTCTGTCCGAGCTCGAGAAATTTCTCGACGACGTCGTCGCAGCCGAGCTTGCTGGCCACGTGCAGATGAGTGACTCCGATTTCGTCGACGTAGTTCGCGTCGAATCTGTCGTATATTTGAAAAAGTTCAGGCATCGTCTCGTCGAACCAAGGGCATCTGTTGTATTGATGCAGCGCCGTGTGACGATTCAGCAATGGCTCGCCGTTTTCGTCCAGTTCGGGCTCGTCCTTGTAGCCGCAGCGAGCCACGAACCTGATGAGTTTTTGTCGACCACTGTTGTACTCCACGTCTTCCGAGAGAAGTAGATCCATCTCTTCGGGCCGAAAGATGTCTCGAAAATCGGGAAACGGGCCCTTCCATCGAACGATCAAAGAGTGAAGCTGCCGGAGAAGCTCGAGTCGCTCTTCCCTAACCTCTAATTTGACGTTTTCTCGTAAGCTCTTCAATTTCGCCAAATTTTCTTGGCCGCATTCCTCGAAATCGGAGTCGTCGCTGTCGTGAATACTTTCATTGGTATCGAGATCAAACCAGACCATTTTCCCGAATACTCGCTCGTGAAACACACACAATCGATTACAATTCGAGATATTTGTTGTCGCCGAAAAAATCACTCTCTGCCGTCGATGCGATTGTCTTTTGTTTACTCTGCTGCGACGTCGCAAGTGGCGTGTGCCATCGATAAGTTTATTCATTCCTTACACCCAATGGGTTTAAGAAAGTTTCACTTCAAAAAAGAGATAAAAGAAGAAACTTATAACTCGAGGTAAACAGTACATGTTCAAGACCATTGACCAGCTTTGGCACATGTACCGAGGCAAATAACATCGGCATCGGCATCAGCAGCGGCATTACCCAGTGCTACGAGCACAACTGCTGCGGGCCGAAGGGCATTGTGCCCTCTCACACACATACGCATACAGACAGATGCACACATGTGCACTCGGCTGCGTAGACTGCGAGAGTTGACAGGCTCGCAGCAGAACAGCGGAACACGGTGCACGATATAATATGTGCACGCTCGTACGTTCGTTCGCGGCATACAGAGCGAGAGAGATAAACAAAGGGCGACAGTCGCGCACGTTGCTCTCGACTCCGACTTTAGCTCGTCCTATGTAGTATGCGTGTGCAAAGCTATATTATATGTGGGTGTGCAAGGGTGACTGTGTACATGCGATACGATATGTATATATATCGTATATATGTACAGGAGAGGATTTTCCCCTCTTGCTCCTATCGTTCTTTCTTTCTCTCTCCTCTGCTCGCTTGCTCGCGTTCGTCTTGCAGTCTATAGGGAGCACAACGACGACGGCGACGCACGTATACAATATGCAAGTGTATATGTGTGCGTACAGCATTATAATATATAGAACGAAGGTATATCGCAGAAGCGCAGACCGACCGACCGACTGACTATATAACGTGTTCGTATGTGTGTGCGTTGCATGCATGTCTGGGCGCGTGGGAGGCAGATAAAGCGACGTCGAGGAGCAGCAAGCAAGAGAGCTGTATACTGCACAACGAGCGAAAGAAAAAAAGAAGCAAGAAAAAGAAAAAGAGTGCGGTGCACATCGCGGCTCGGCTATATTATGAACTGCGCGCGGCGCGGAGCTGCGTGCTGCCCATGTTTGCATGTAGCATAGATGCGTTTGTATGTGTGCATTATATGTACGTGTATGTATATCGCTATCAAGCGCACGACGGACGAGGGAGAAACCGAGACAAGAGAGAGAGAGAAAGAGAGAGAGAGCGAAAAGTTTAAGAAGGCAGAAAGAGAGAGAGAAGGGGGAAGGCTTGGCGTGCATGGGCGTGCTGCGTGCTTGCATGTACACATCTGTTTTCTGTATATGTATATATGAGTATGTGTGTGTGTGCCAATCCGAGTGTGCAAAAGTCGAAGAAAATAAAACGAGTCGTGGGTACGTATATATCTGTATACGTGTATATGCGAGAGTCACGCACGCAACTATACATGTATCTGCACTCGTGCATGTGTATAGTCCATGCACACACACGCATGCATGCATGAGAGGAACGACGAGAGACAGAGAGAGAGAGAGAGAGAGAAAGAGAGATAAGAACGCGTAGGCGAGTCGAGCTCTCTGCTGCTCTGCGCGAGCGAAACAGAAGAGAGAGAGAGAGAGAGAAGGAGACCTGCTGCTGCATATATACTTGTGTTGGTGGCTGCGCGCAAAAAAGCTGCGCAGCACACACCGCACATACACACAGTGCAGCACACACAGGCAGGCAGGCACGGATAAGGACTCGTGAGCCAAGAGAGAGATAGAGAATACGTGTGTTCGTATATGTGTGGACTGTAGATGTGCTGCTATCGAGGTTGGTGTAGGTGCGCGCGCGGAGAGTCGAGAGGGGAGTAACACTCGACTCGTGCAGTGCTGTGCTGTACACTGCGAGATAGCTCGTCCGTATAACGAGGCAGAGGCAGAGAGAGAGAGAGAGAGAGGAGGTGGGGTGTGGGGGGTGGGAGGGGAGGAGGAGTTGTGGCAGTTTTCTCTCTCGCTCTCTTTTATGCGCGCTTCAGCATAGCACGACTACTCCGACTGCTGTGACTACGACGACGACGACTTCAACGCACACACACACACACACACACACACACACACACACACACACACACACACACACACACACACACACACACACAAGACCTATATATCGCTGTATGTACGACCGGTGCTCACTCGGGTAATTCAGCGCAGGCAGCAGCTCTCAACTACTCTAACATGTGTGTAGGTATAAATGCACGTGTATGTGTGTGTATAAGCGCAGCGAGCACACGTGAGGGGGAGAGAAGAGAGACGGGTTCGCGCGACGGCGGCGGCGGCGCAGCAACCAACGCGCATCTACACCTATACATATATGCACATATAAGAATACACTAACATAAATGCGGCGCGGCCAGCATCGGCAGGACGGCAGCGCCAACGAAACAGCACACACATAAAGCGCAGCAGCACATGCATACTATATACGCAACTTTTGCGCTGTTGCTGCAACTCGGCTGCACTATACTGCGAAAGATCACACTGACTGTAGAGAGCCGCGTGAGTTTATGTATGTGTGTGTCTGTGTGTGTGTCGGTGAGTGCGTGCAAACTCAATGCGAGCTCGGTATCTCTAAAACTCTGGTCTGTGCTTATGTATATCGCAAGAGTGAGAGTGTGCAGCGCACGCACACCGATGTATAATATATTTATAGCTGTGCGCGGTGCGTATTATATCGCGGTTGGCTCGGGCTGCACCTCTCCACGCTCTCTCGAGCTTTTATTATCAGCAGCGAAATATACATCTAACACGCGTCTCGTCGCACACATGGCCCAGCTGTATCGTAGTAGTCGCTCCACACCTACCTGCATAATATAATATGCAATATCTATCTCTCGTTGCCACTAGCCCGGCACAGCTATCTTGCACCTAGTGTGGAAGTGCGAGTGCGTGAGTGCGTTGGCGAATCGCGACTCTTGAATTTTACGAAAAACCCTGTACGAAGCTTCGAGACATAAAAATGCTCCATCTATCTCAATGGCTCTGAAATATCAGTCAATTTCTAATTCAAGCTTCATCATCGTCCACATCCAAAAGCTCAAAATGCTCGAATAACGCACGCAGTGATTCGACGCGTTCGCGCGCGGCTCTATTTCAATAATTCAAACGCAAACGGTCGTTGCTCGCGAGCGCGAACGTCGCAAAAATTTGAAATTTCGAATCCTCCACTCCGCTCGCAGCCGCAACCGACCGATCATCTCTCGCTCGCTCGTTATTGCGCGCGCGCGCGCATGCGAGAATCGAAAAGTCATAACAGGCAGCAGAGAGATGCAGCACGCGGCCCGTAGTGTTTCTGCCGCAGATCGAACGTTGGCTATAGATGACGAAGAATAGAAAATAATAACAAAAGGAACAAAGTGAGAGTGCATCGTCGCAACGATCGTCGTGCTGTTGTTGTCAATCGCTGCTTCTATAATACAGGGCTCATCGAACGAACGAACGAGAGAAAAGCTCTACTGGCTTCGATCATCTCGCGCTTTTCATCCTGCTTGCGACTGACACCTGCTGCTACTGCCAGGTTTATAATAACTTTTCCACAAAAGTCCTTGTGCCGCTTTTATATTATACATTATTAAAAAGAGACAAGTGCAAAGGAGGCATATCATCGTTCTCTCTCGGTTAAAGAGTGCATAGTAAAAGATGCCGCTTGCATATGCGCTCCGAAAAGGGAGGAAAATCGCATAGTGTCGTTGTCGTGTAAAGGTGCGATTGAAAATATCGTCGTTTAAAAATAATAATATTTATAAATAAAATACAGGATAGAAGAGACACGGGTTGTACTACTACCGTGGCTCTGTGTACATGGCACACATCCATAGCAGTGAGAATACAATACATAAGAGTTTCTCTGTTTATGTGTGTGCGTGTCGTCGGTGCTCGTGCGTGAGTTTCTGCCATGCGAATGAGCGTGTGTAAGTAAACGCGGTTCTGTGTCAGTGTATGTGTGTATCTCTCTCTCTCTCTCTGCTTCGCGCGCGATATAGGTATACTTAGCCAAAGCAGATTCGCACTGGTGTGCGCGCGTGTGTGCTCTGCTACATAGCGCGCCCGCGCGCGCGACTCCGTTTTCAGTCTGTGTTGGTCGGTGTGCTTGCCTGCGCTCGCTCTCTGCCAGTCTCAGCAGCAGCAGCAGCAGCACTATATACTTCGTGCTCCGTTCGTGTGTGCATGTGTGCGCGCCTCCTCGCCTGGCACAGCAGCACCGCGTACTAGTACTATATACCAGCGTGTCTGGCGGTGGTAGTGGTAGTGGCTGTTGCGGTGGTGGTGGTGGTGGTGTTGGTGTGCGCGGCCGCGTGCGTGTGCCTCGGTGTGCGTGTGCCACACCACGACGGGTCGATGAGACAAGCTCGAAGCAGTGGCGGCGGCAGCAGCAGCAGCAGCAGTGGGCGGATCGCCGGCGCGCCTGGACATCTCAGCAGCGACGGCGGCGGCTACGGCGGCTCTACGGTGACGACGACGACGACGACGACGACAACGACTACGACGGCGCGCGGTCAACACCAACAACGGCCAACAACACAGCGGCAGCGGCGTTATAGTACGACGACCCGGGGCTCCGCTTGAAAAATTAATACGCGCGTCTACATCAGCGCTAATTTGAAAATATATACGCAGAGCGAGAGAGTACGAGAGTACGAGAATTTTTTTCTGTGCCTCGACGACGATGCAGCAGTAACCAGCAGCAACACCGGTTGTACGTGCGGGTGTGTGCTTGTGAGATGAAAAAACGTGTGTCGATTATTATTATATCGTTGATGTGAAAACTGTGTGCCGTGTGCGACGAGCTGTGTGCTCGACGTCGACGAACACGGGATCGATCTCGCGCTACACAGGCATGCTGCTATATGTAGCGAGAATATACAGCAGCAGCAGCAGCAGCAGCGTGGTTTAATGTGATTGTGTGTTATAAAAAATAATAAAATAAATAAAAGTGGAGTTGTTAAGTGCGCGAGTGTCGACATCACGACGCAGCCGCCTCATTTTGTCAATATTATAAATGATAAATAATAGAGGAGAATAAAAAAAAAGGAAGCCAACGTGTAATTGGCTGCATGCACAGCAGCACAGAGCACTGTGCTCAGTAGTAGAGAAGACGTCGACGACGATGGCCACGATGACACATCCGCTGCCCGGTTGATTTTCTCGGTTGATAAGCAGCAGTGTGCAAAGAGAAGTGTGTTGTGTGTAAGAGAGAGAGAGAGAGGGTCCGAGAGTATATATTTAACCTCGAGACGCAGTGCAGCGCGACACGATAACGACGATGGCAAAAATTACATACGAATTATTGCACGTCGGTGTTGTTTAGTGTGCAAGTGTTTTGTAGTTGCGGCAGCAGCAACAACGGCAGCAGTAGCAGCAGTAGTGACTCTTTGCAAGAAAGAGAGAAAAAATTACATAACTACGACATTTTGATCAGTGGTTCGTTGTTCTGTTTCTTTTTTTTCTTTTTTTTTATTATACATTGTTCAAAAGTTTTGGTTCGTTCCTTGTCGAAAAGTGAATTTGATGGTTTTTGAATGAATAAAGAGAGAAAGCAAAAAAAAACGTGTGGATGACTCTCAGGAGCATCGATAAAATCAATTATCTTAAAAAATTAAATAAATAAATATAAACGAGCTAAACTTAAAATAAAAAAAAAGCTAAAATGCAAGTGGCAACGTTGTTTCGTGAGAGTGCTAATCTGCTAGGGGCCTCGAACATGGATCCCACCCCGCAGACACATCATCATCAGATGCAGATGCAAATGCAGATGCAGCAACAGCAACAGCAACAGCAGCAACAACAACAGCAGCAACAACAACAACAACAACAGCAGCAGCAGCAGCAACAGCAACAGAGCGTCGATTACGCTCATCACATGCAGCATCATTACAAAATGTAAGCAAAAGTTTCAACAATATTAAAAAAAAAAAAATAAAAAAATCGAATGTGTAAACGTGTGTAATTGTACTGCGAGGCGCGCGCATGTTTATATTTATGCCCGATAGCTGCATGCCGATGATGGAGCGAGCCGCGAAGGGCGTTTGTTTACGTTTGTGTATGTTATATAGCTAAGCGCGAGCGCGCGCGACTACCAATAGCACAGCCTGCACCGCACACGCGATGTGCACTTGCTACTACTATGCGGCGATACAACGAGAAGTTTTCCTTTATACGACCACCACCTCCTCCTTCTCCTCCCTATATTATCGAGAGTGTGTATGTGTGTGAATGATAACGTGTGCGCGAGCGCGACAGAAAACCACCTCACTCTCACTGACTCCCTCCGATTTTGCGGGCTGCACGACGACGCCGAAATTACGATTACTCGATAATGAGGATAAAGCGCGCGGATTATTCGCGGGGGCTTTATATTAAAACGTGCTCCACGCAGGTATGCGCGTGTGAGTGCGCGTCGAGTGCAATGTGCATGCATATTATAGTCGTCCTCATAGCGCATGCTTGAATAACTTATCGGCAATTTAACGCCAGTTAGAACTATTACCAAGTGCCATTAAATGTACAACGACGACGACGACGAGACACACATGCGTTGTTGTTGTTTCGCGGCTTTTTTTTTTTTTTTTTTTTTTTTTTTTTTTTATTGATATCAGAAACTCGAGGTATGTGTGCTAGGCGTGTGTCGAGCTTCTAATCTCTTCGAATTTCTCGGGAGTAGAGAGCATCTTTCACGGTGTGACTAAACTTTCTCGCGCTCGCGGCATCGCTCGCTATAAAGATGACATAATGGTATTTACATTTGTGCGCGTGTGTGTATACACAGTGACGCGTGCTAGAGATATACAAGTAATTGCACAATTCCCCAAGCGAGCTTTTTTCTATTTCTCGTTTTCTAATCTGTCGTTCGACGCGCTGGGCTGCATCGGCAGCAGCAGGCAGAGAAAACGAGACGCGTGTGCGCACGCCCGGAATATAACATAACGTTATAATACTCGCACCTGATTTTTTTTCTCTTCGGAGCTGCAAAAAGTACTCGACATGGGCCGCGATATATAATTTGGATCTCTCGCATCGGAGAGTCGAAAAGTCGACTCTTTCGGGGCGCGATTTCCGACGCACTACTGAGAAGCTCGCATGTATACATAGTCTTACCCACAAGTGCGATATTTTTTTTTTTTTTTTTTTTTTTTTTTTTTTAANTTTTTTTTTTTTTTTTTTTTTTTTTTGCGAAACGCAGAGATAAACACAACGCGGCACACATAGGCATTACGGCAGACATCTCATTTTCTCTCCGTCTGTCTGTCTGTCTCTATCTCTCGATCGTATCATACAAGCGGATAATCATCGTAATTTTTTTTTTTTACTTCAATTCTTTTTTCTGCCAGCCGGGTGTATATGAGCGCACAAGTGCGTGCGAGTCGTACGTACGTACGTCTGCAATTTGTTTTTACAACCTCGTAAAATTTCATAATACCTCGAGCAGCTCTCTAAGCGCCGGGTCGAGACGAAGAAGTGGGTATATAGCGTTTTGGCGCGCGTCACACTATACGTATACGATATATCGGCTGGTAATATCTAAAATGTGCTCGATTACTGTGTCTCTCTTGCTCGCGCCTTGCCACTATCAGCTCAAGCATGCGTGTATTATAAACGTGTGTATCTGTTGAATGGAGTTGTGCTGGTGCGTATGTATGTATGTGTGTCGATATCTCCGTCTCTGTATTTGCATTATACGTTTATTGACTGTCAAGGTAAATATACAGTTACAAGCCCATCAGATGATATATAATGCATTATATATATCGTGTGCCTCGCGGTACTGTGCGCGCAATTCACGGGCCGAAAATTTCGCGCGCTCATAACGCGTTTCTCTCTCTCTCTCACTCAATAGACGGTTTAATCAATTGCTTTGTAATTATGATCATATAGCTCGTCGAACACTGCTGCATATGGGTTGCCGTGTGGCAAGTCGCGCTCGCTCGCGGCCGCGTGCGGCTATACAGCATGAATTATGATACTTATTAACGACGCGATATATTATTCCGCCGGTTCTCTGCACCTATAGGCTCTTCGATCCGGAAAAACGTTTCTCTCTCTCTTGAGAAGGTGAATTTATTTAATACTTACTCCGCAACTCTGTATTATGCTGCGGCTGTTGTGTGTGTGTTTGTGTATGTGCACGCGGCGAGAAGAGCAAGTGAGAATTAAATTTCAAAGAGTCTCTCTCTCTCGCGCGAACAATGACGCGCTTCACCTTGAAACCCAATCGAAAGTTTGCCATTTTCCGCGCCGCACATATTTACTACTACTATATACGATGTATATTATAAAGTGGCGCATTATAGTGTGTGCGAGTGTGTGAATAACTAATGCTGCTGCTGCCATACAACAGAGCCAGGCGGCCGCTGCCTGCCTGCCATAATATAACGACGCAAAGCGCAACTTTACGGTCTAATTGTAATTCGATTAAACAACACACACCCACCCCCTCATCGCGTTGGTCAACTACATTAACGGATAATCGATTGAAATTTTCGGAGGGCGGCTGGCACGATGTTTATTGGTCCGGGCTGCGTTGAAGCGCGAGGAAGAAACGTCGACAATTGAATTCTCGATGCAGCAGCAGCAGGCCTTGTAAATTGGATCGCGAATTTATCGAATTACCGAAAATCTCGCGCTGCTCTGCGCTCGTCGTCGTTCACGCGCGTCTATCATAATATATGATGAGAGTGGAAAAAGAGGGAATGAGAGAGAGATGTAAAAAAAAAATTGAGTAATCGATTGGCGCATTCCCTTGCATCAGCGCGGGCAGCGGCGGCGATTAGTAATTATTCAAATTAAGCTTACTTTGCCCGGGTGCAGTTTCGCGGTCTATCGTTTTTGATACTCATCAGTTTCCGATAACCACGCTTACTCGCGCTTAACTCGTTCTCCCCCGTTTTTTCTTGCTTTTTTTTCAATCGTTTGGCCAATATTAATAAGTGTATTAACGAAAGCTCTTGCGCCTTCGAAAACTTTCATTCGGTCAAGTTTCGGGCGGATCATAATAAATACATAAATCCCCCACACCCCCCTGAAAATATTCACCTTTCGCTATACGGAGCTTTTTGCTTTGTTTATGTTTGTTCAGTTTTAACAACACGAGGTGTATTATCTCTTTTGGCGTGAATTAACGAAAATTTTTTATCTTGATAAAACATCCGTGCCGAATAAGGACTTGTGTATGTCTTGAATTCAAAATATTATGATTGCATTTTTTTGAGATTTTTTTTTACCTTTAACGTCCAAAACCATTGACACAAAGTATACAACAACAACTCACGTAAACTGTTGTATATCTCAGTAAAAATCCAAAATTTGAAATTTTAAACAAAGCCACTGAAAGTGTATAAAAATCTTGCCTAAAAATGAAATAAAAACTTTCTCATTTTAGGCATCTCTATAATCTCTTAATGTATTTTCGCAGTTAATACCTGGAATAAAAATGTATCTCTATCCCTCTCGATCTCTATTTTTCTTTCCGCATACATAAACACAATCGTTATATATGTGTGGCACATTATAGTACAGCACTTAGATACATTACACAAAAAACACAATGTGTATATAATATATACATACACACATTGTGTGCGCGGGGTAATAGTATAAGCAGTCATCAATTATCGATTGCTAAGCCGCGCGCGGCGCACAGCTTTTTTCTCCTCTTTTTTTCGCGATTTTTTTTCTCTCTCTGCATTCTCTTTTTTATTCAGCGATGCTATCATCGTACGACACACAACACACAGGGTTGAACGAACTCATGAAGCTCTTTCTTTCTCTCTCATGACTTGTTGATATTATTGCTTGATTTATTTGTGTACACTCGAATATGTGCATATGCATATATAATCTATCGAAGCGAGAGAGAGAGAGACTCTGAAGAACTCGAGTCGACGAAGACGACGACGACGAATATGCTTACGATGCATTTGTCTGCCTCTGCCGCCACACGCTTATGAAATGGAAATATGTATAAACATCTCGTCGTGTGTGTTATGACGCGAACGCTCGCTCGCTCGAGAGAACTGCTTTCACGCGCGCACAGCAGTTCGGTTCAATGACATAATCGGTAGCAGCACTTGTGATTTTACATAATCGCAGCAGCGGCGTTTATTATTATAGTCGTGCGTTGTCCCATTGACGGTGTACACATACACACAATACAATTACGGGCTAGGAAAGAAATGTCGAACGCTGAATTTAGAGCGCCGCCGCGGAGATGTACATCGCTGAGATTACTCGCATTAAGGCACTACTGCGATGCCTAAATCGTTGGTCGTGTCTTTTTTAAGTTATTTTTTCTCTCACTCGACCTCTTTTGCTACGGAGCAGTATCAACGTTGACGGTTTCGAGGTGCTACGACGACGACGACGAACGAGGTAGACAGCGATGGACGGACGAACGGACGGCTGTATGATCGGCCAGCAGCACCAACGGCAGAGAGTCCGAACAGAGTCGGACGGTTTTACGTGCTAGCTGGGTCTGTGTGTCTGTGTGTAGTGTTGTGCGCGTGTATATGTATGCGTGCATCTCTCTCTCTCTCACACTGCAAACCCTCCCCCTTTTTTGCTCTCCTCCTTTTCCTCCGCCTGCCAAGCCAAGCCAAGCCAGCAGCAGCAGCAGCAGAGCAGAGGCCTGCCATGCTGTCATTCTCACGTGATTTTTTTTTTGCACTACGCGCACGCGCGCACGCAGCAACGCATACACGCTCAGACACGGGCACACACACACGCACACAAAGACTAGTGCATGTATTTCGCGTATATATGCGCGTGTGTATGCAGAAATACAGATATATATACACGCCTAAGCCGGTTGTTCGTTCTGTGCTTGCTGCTGCTGCTGCTGCTGGCGTTGCTCGTGTGTCTTGTTATCTTTCTGCATGTAGAATATA